GAGCGCCTAGCTGCTGGGCCGTCGGCGTCGGCGGCGGCGGCGCCCCTGCCGAAGAGCCTGCGGCAGAAATGGACTCGATGATCTGCTTGGCCTTGGCCTCCTTCTTTGCTGCAGCCTTCGCCTTCGGATCCTTGGGGTCTGCCACGGCAAGGGTCGATGTCAATATCTGACCTGGCTTGACATCGGTAGCCCCAAGACCCACTCGCGCCCGGGCGCGCACGAACTGCCGGCAGCGGCCAAGAATCGTCATGCCAGAATCCCCGTCGTCCCTGATGGCCATTCTCTTCGGGAACGCCGGAAGGTCCAAGAGGTAGGTGATCAGCGCGGAGCCCTCGATCTTCGCCTTGAACTCCTCGACCTCCCTCATCAGCATTGGACTCTCAGAGTCGTCAGTGAGCAGCCCGTGCTTGATCATGTCGGCGCGGACGGCGGTGTGCTCGTTCAAGAACCTGGCGACCGCGTCGATGCTGACGTCCTTGGCGAGCGAGAGCCTGGAGTACTCCCGCGCCGCCTCGTTCGCCTCGTGCTCGTCGCCCAAGCGCACTGCGACCTTCAAGCGCCCGACGTACTTGATCCAGATGGCCTCCCACCTGGGGTTGGAGCGCTCTCTCAGCAGTGCCTGGCGCGCGTCCTCGCCGCCCAACTCGGTCACGATCAAGTCCTCCATCTCGATATTCGCCGTGCCCTCTGCAATCGCCCGAGCGCCCTCAATCCAGATAGCCTTGCTCGCCTGGCGCGACTCGTTCTGGTAGATCTTGAACTTCTCGAACTGCACCTTCAAGGTCGCGGCGTCGGATGCTGTCAGGACTGGCTTCGCCGGCATCAGCTTCGAAGCCGACTCCCGCTGGGCCACCAAATTCTCCTGAGGGGTCGTGGCCCCTGCGCGTCTTCTCCCTTCCTGGGCATGATCTACGGGGAAAGGATCCCGAGCGACTGTCGCCCCCCCAACGTCCCACAGGACGGGCAGCGGGCTGCAGTGGCACGAGTGGTTTACCACCTAACAAAGTCCAACGGGAAGCACAAGGACATGTGGTGCAGCTACGCTGCCATCCTGACCGAGCAGAGAGCGCAGTGCCCCCTCCGCCAGCGGATCAGCACACTGTTGACATACCTCATGGGGATCGACCGCGCCGCCCTTGCCTACGGAACCATCAGCGCACTGGCCCACCGAGACCCACGCGAGGCAGACACAGGCTGCACAGCGGCGGCCGAATCCCCAGCAGCAACCTGGCTGAACAGAGCAGGCGAAACCGTCGACCCCCCCCAACAGACAGCCACGGACCTGTGCAGGAGGACACCGCTGACTACGCTCCCAGAGCATACCCCCGCGCTACAGGAGCAGACGGGGGAAGCGGCCCTCCGACGGAGGGGAGAGGCCCACCCAACCAGGCAGGCAGAAACGAAGGCGAACCTGAGGGGATCGACTGGGACGGAGGCAAGACAAGCGAGTCAGACACAGCCAAGAACTCGAGCCCGGCGGTCAGCCCAACCCCTGTGGCGGACGATGGAGAGGAGGAGGGCATTGACCCCCTCAACCTCTTCAAGGACCCACCCAGCAGGCCCGATGCCTGGGCCCCATTCGATCGGATCGTAGATCGGGACGCCATCCGTGAAGTTAGGAGGGCGAGAGACAGCCCACAAAGAGCAAGCAGCTCAACCTGGAGCATAAACGGCGCCAGGGACGACCGCGCCCTCAGCCAGCCGCGCGACTGGGGACAAGGGCCGCCAACGGCCCGTGTGGGAGGACACCAAGGACGGAGAAGGCCGTGCCACCAAATCTCCAAGAGGCGACCCCGCGCGAGTGGAGATCTACGAGGCGCCCTGGAAGGACATAAGGACCACGCAGCCGCCCCGCGAAGACCCAAACGACCCCATGGGAGGCATCCCCACGCACATGTCTCCCGTTGCAGCTGCAGACGTTGCGAGGAAGGAACCCGTGCAGGATAAGATAATACGCCTGTAAAAGACGCCGGGGGGGGAGCGTTCAATGGAATTTGGGCCGCATGGGTGAAGAGGGCTGCCCCGAGGCAGGAGCTCAGCGGAAGCCAAAAGCACGACCCTAAACTGAACAGTCCAGTCGTGCAGCGAGTTCCTCCAGGCATGGAATGACGCAGGGTACGACGCCTACAAGATGGACAGCGACCCAGGGCTCAACGTCCACTGGCCTCCTGTCAAGGACAAACACATGAAGCTCGTGCACCGCGACTCCCGAGCGCACGCTCAACGCGATCACGACAGCAGCAGTAGACCCGCCCCATGGACAGCAGAGGGCAGAACAGCCACTGCGGCAGCCGCGCATGACCGATAGGCAGGCGCCATCGGCTCAGCCACCCCCGGCCAGTGGCAGGACTGGCAGGAGTGGAACTCTTGGGGCCAGCAGAAAGCCCCATGGACGGACACGGACTGGAAAGGAAAAGGTAAGCGGTACTCCCCCAGGGGGGACGACCGGTACACGGACAAGCGCGCCCGATGGTGGGCCAGGGAGGACCCTTACGCCCAGGGCTAGCAGGGCCCGGTCAACCTGTCAGCGCACCCCAAGCCTTCCTGGCCAGTGGCCTCCGTCACCCTCACCACCTCCCCCCCCCCCGTAGGGGACTGTTTCACCTCGCAGCGCCCGGCCTTGGCCGCAACACCTTGGCGCAACATCCGCCGGGGCGGGGGCCGCCCCACATCTCACCCATGGCGCTGCATAGCTAGACAGCCCACGCTGGATGCGTGGACCCATCCCTGACATCTCACCCCCCTGCTCATCAAGGGACCAGCCCGCTGGGCTGACCGGTCCCTGGACCACCCGCTTTGCTGCCCCACGGCGACAGCCACTCTCCCTCCGGTGACAGCGGGGCGTCGGCAGAAGCAACCCGCCCTGCGCGCCACCCACCTTTGCTGTCCAGCGGCGACAGCCACCCACCCCTCGGTGACAGGGGGTCGTCGGCAGAAACAACCCCCCCTGCGCGCCGGCCTACCGGCCTGATGTCTCAGGCCTCAGTTTTGGCAGCTTCAGCGAACCCCCAGGACCCACCCCCGGAGGCGTATCTCGCTGCTGGCCCACATTCCGCGTTGACTGCGGCCCTGGTAGGCCGTCACCCGTTCGCAGTGGACTGCGGCCTCGGTGGGCCACCGACCGTTCGCACACATGCAACAGAGACCTCAGCGGCGATTAGCTGCGACCCCCACGATGTAAATGGCTCCTAGCGGCGATTAGCTGCGACCCCCCGTTCTTCCACGCAGGTGCTCGCGGCGAGTAGCTGCGACCCCCTGGGCGTTCCATGTGGCAGGGGGCGGCCCCTCCCTGGCCCACGGCTGCAGGGTGCCTGGCCGTGGGGCGAGGCGTTGCGTCCCCTCGCCTCTCCCCTCCCAGGCTCGGTGGGTGTCCCCCGCCCGTGGCTTCGGGGCTCGCCCGTCGCGGCCTTTGCGTTTGGGCTGTGGCCCCCCCCTCCCTGCTCGCGCCGTGGTACGCGCTGCTCATGGTCTTTCTTGGCCCCCCCAGCGGCAGTTTCCACGGCTTTGGGGAGACACCTGGTGTGTGTGTGTGTGTGTGTGTGTCGGCGCTAGGGCTCAGGGGCAGCGCCATGCGACAGTCTGGGTTGGCTGGCCACCTCAGCTTCACTGCAGCAGGACCCCCCTGGCAGGCAGCGCAGACGTCACCACCGCCAGTGTGCCGACCATCACCACCCGACGGCGGCGCTGCCCACGCCAGCGGATCTCTTCGCTTCAGGGGACGGCACCGCAGTTGCGCCTTGGGCACAGCCGCATGGCTCCCCTCGGCACTGGGAGGCGGATTACTGAGGACTGGGCGCTGAGCGGTTCAGCCTACAACGCCTGTGTTGCCTTTGGTTCTCCCTCTGTCGCGCACTGTTTCTGGTTGCGGCCGCGCAGCAGTTCGGCTTGTGCAGGTCGGCAAGGAGTCTGGCGCCGCCCTGGCGACTCACTTCGATGCGTCCGCACATTCATCACGGCGGCCTGTCCATTTCGGTTCGGGCTGCGGAGCCTAAGTGCGCTTGCCCTGAGAATTTAGTTCATTTTGTTATGTGCACGTACAACTGCGAATTTGTCTTGCAGGTGCGAGCATTGTCCGCCGACTCTGGCTGGCGGCGACTTGTCTGGCAAATTAGCCCCGCACCGTGACCCGGACGCCGCTTCTGCTCCCGGTCCGTTGCCTCGGAGCCGCTGACCAAAAAAGTAAGCCCAGCCAGCAGCGCACGCTGCTCCTCGGCGCCTGCCCGCTGCTGCTCGGCCATCTGCTCCATGAGCGCTAGCATCGCCCCAGCGACGCCTGCGTCTGGCGGCGGCGAACTCGACAAAGCAGCCGGATGTGCTGGAAGGCCTGGCGGCGGCTGGTGATACGCAGGTCCGTGGCTCGCGAAATCGAAGTCCTCGTCCTCGTCCTCCGCGTCAAGCTGCACGTCGCCCTGAACCTCGGCGGACTGCAGGTGGACCAGCTCCTGGGCAGCCTCCGCTAGCGCGGCCTTCTACGCCCGCAACTCCCTGGCGTCCGTCTGAACCTCGGCGATCTCCTCCAAGTAGCGATCCCGCTCGGTGTGATGGAGCGCCTGGCTGGCGAAGAAGTTGGCCCTGGCCGAATCAGCGCCGCGCTGGTACTCGACCTCCGCATGCTGAGCAGCGGCCACTCTGGCGTCTGCATCGGCCTGGGCTGCTGCAACTTGCCTGGCCGCATCGGCCTCGGCCGCCTCGCATCGGACAGCAGCCTCACGAAGATCTTCACGAAGACCACCGTCATGCGCTTGGGCCCGAATCGCCAATCGGCGGCGAGCCAACTCAGCAATCTCGGATTCTTCCTGCAACTTCAGATTGAGCTGCTGGGCATCCTCGCGAAGCTGGGCGTGGTCCTCGGCGTTGCGGCCTCGCTGACGCCGGACCTCTGCGTCGGCCTGCTGCCACTAGTCCTGTAGCCGATCGCGGGCACCAAGCAAATCAGCGGCCTCGTCTCGAAGTGCTTCCTCAGCCTTAACTTCGAGAAAAGCATCAGCTGCTGCTATGACCGACTCAGCTACGCGGATCTCGCCGACTGTGGCGAGTGCGGCATCGCGCTCGACCACGTACTCGTTGAGCTCTGCTTGGATGTGGACAATCGCCTCACTCCGAGCATCGGCGATGGGTTGCTGGTACTCCTGCTGCTCGGCGTGCAAGAACTGTCGGGCGTGAGCGAAGTCCTCGTCGACGCTCTCGCGGTGAGCCTCGACTTCGGCCTCGGAAACGCGCAATCGAATAATCACAGTTGCAAGCTCACTCCGGACCTCCTGCTGGGCCAAGCTGCCAACATAGGCGGAGATCTGATTCTCCAACGCAGGGTCATTCCTGCGCTCGCGCCCAGTCTCCACGATGCGCCTCTCGATGGTCTGGACCTCGAGCAAGACCCGATTGCTCGACGCATGCTGTCCCGGCGCTATAAGGCGCTGGCCGAGAGCGGGGCGATGAACTTCGACGAGAACTCGATCCTGCGCGGCCTGCGTTCGCCCCCCAGCACGGTGATAGGGCTCCACTGGTGCTCTGGATCGTCGAAGAAACTGCCCTCAGCGCCAGCGGCGGCCGCGCCGCCGGCATCCACGATTCTCTGTTCGGGTTCATTCTTCTGGAGAGAACTCGCAGGGGCGACCTGGTGCCCCTCCACGTCGCACGGCAAGTCCCCCCCAGTGTGTCCACCAGATTTGAGCGAATGTTCTGCTTCAACCAACTCTAAGTGCCTTGCCACAGCCAGCTGAGAAACAGGTGAAGGGTTGGTGAAGGGTTCACGAGTCGGGGGCCGGCGGCAGATTCCACAACACACCACGCAACCACGAATCTAAGCTGACAGCCACGCGCTTCTCGTGACGATCGGCGGCGCTGCTGATGGCGCGGGCCCTTCGTTTTCCCATGCGCTAGCGAGGGACACAATGCCGACGTCTCGGTCGGACTTGAGCCAAAAGTGAAACAGTACAAACTGCACAGGGTCTGAGGTGCGGCTGGTCACGCTGCCGCGCCCAGTCTCACCAGAATGCCCTGGAGACGATGCCCGCTGCCAGGCCCTGCGTCTCAGGTTCCGGGAAACCGCTCTCAAATATGCATTCGGGGGCCCCTCAGAAATGATATACGAAAAGGATGCCCAGGGCCGAAGACATGCTGCACGAGGGCCCAAGACCTCTAGACCCAAGGAAATTCCACTGTGGAACATCCCGGACCTCGATCTGCAGGTCCCGGGGCCCAGAACGGACAACTACAGCAGAAATTGGTCAGACATCTGATCCACAACACCATTTGGGCACATGTGCTCAAATGGTTCTGGCTCGCCCAAAAATGCACCTACGCGCCCGAGACTCGCCAGAAATATGAAGCGAAATGCACTGAATGCGAATATGATGACTCTTATGCCCTAGGTGCAGCAAACAAGCTTCTAGAATACAACTGTAGAAATGGACACGTTACGTCAAATGATGAGAGGAGGCATTGGGAGAGGGATACTACTATTGTGCAGAATGATTCCCAGCTGTTTTACCAATTGACCCCCAACACCTGTGCACACCCATTGGATTTTGGCTCGCTTCGCTGTGTGACCTGACTCCGTTTCCACGCGTTTTCTTTTCTCGCCTGCCGTGAACGAGCGTGTCGGGACTGGCCGCTCTAGCCTTGCGCCTGCGAGGTCCTTGCACATCTTGTGAATGATCGCGGTATCTCCCCTTTGTATGCTGATGAGCAGCGTCTCTATCTCTGCCAGCTGCCCGACGTATTGCCGAATTTATGTGCTGCGCCGCCTCCTGACCCCCTCGTTGCGCACGTGCGTCCGCCAGTCCACCTTCGAGGTGGATCTCGAACGGTTGGCCAGACTTTGAAATATATTCGTTGTCCAAGTGCGACCGGCGCCGTGACGTGCTGATATGTTCACTGCCTCCTCATCATTGATGCGCGGCCTGGCCGATCCGCTGCCACAATTCGACACCTTGCCCTGCGGGCGCGCGTGGCATCTCCTGGCCCGCCCTGTGCATTTTTGCTGGCAATCCTAATCGATTATCACGGGGCCGTCGGTGGCGATCGGCGCCAAGAACAACGCTGCGTGCTCACCTTCTGGGACGGACTGCTCTCCGTCAACAGTGCGAAAGAAGCCGTCAGCTAGGTGCCCTTCGTCTCCGCATCGGTAACATTTGACGTTTTCACATGTAGAAGCCGTCATGTCCTGGACATATGGTCGACAACTATCCCCTGGAAGGTGGCATGCCGCTGGTTTGGGACTCACCGTCAGACTTGCGACCGTTCTGATCGTTTGCGAGGCTCGCCCTGACACCAGGCGCAAAACCAACGCCCCCTGTCATGATGTCCATGCCTCCGCTCTGTCATGTAAGTCCCCAATCGACGCGGTTGATCCCGATGTCGCTGCTCGCGCCGGAGCCGTGGATGAACCCGAAGCTGATCTCTCTCCCTCTGTCTCTCGGCTAGCTGGTCTTCACTTGTGCGCGTGCTGACCTTGGGGCCTTCCTCGCAAGTAATCCAGTCGGCCCCGTCCCAGCCCCCCCGCGCCGGCGCCTCCGGCAAAGGATTCTGCAGTGGCGGAAGCAAGCCCCTGAAACAGAAAGCTTCGCTATCTGGGTTCTCGTGCATCTCCTCCAACACTTGCCTGCGCAGTGCCTGAGATTTGCTGGCGGCGTCGATGTCGAGGTTGCCGTTTGCCTCGCATTCGTAATAATATGTATTTCAATGTATCTTGCGCTGCGCCGCAGCGCGTGCACTTGCGTCCTGCGAGGCACCCTGTTGCCCGACGTCGCTTGCCCGACCACAGCGTGCCACATCCGATTCCCTCCAGTGCTCCTGCTTCTTGAAGTCTGGCTGATTTACGTAGTCGTTGAACTGCGTTGCGAAAGATGGTGGTGCCCATCGCCTGCTGCATGCGCTTGCCCTTGTAGCTCTCTCTCTCGCTTTTGCCCATAGTTGTTGGCGCGCGTCTCTTGTAATGGCTTGGCTGGCATCGCCGAAGTCGAGCTTCTGGTCGTCCATGAACTTCCATGTCGCTTCTGCTGTCGCCCAAATCGCATGGTTCACGTAGAGAACATTGACTTTGCTGCAATGATAAGATACGCGCCGCCATTGGACCCGTGACGGAGTTCCCCTTGATACGCTTCCTCATGTTCTGTTACATCCTGGCGATGTCATGCCATCCTTATCGGAATCGGTCGCGCGCTGGTAGATCTCTTTGCCGCATTTGGACCGACTGGATCCACTCTTTGACTTGACGATTCAGGCGCGCCGCGCCTAGCTCGGCGTCGCCATTGAGGGCCGCGTTCACCGCGGCCGCGCATCTGCCCCACGCGCTGAAGCCCGCCACGTCGGCAGGAAGAGGCGGAGGGGGGAGGGGGAGGGGGGCGCAAAATCCTCTTCACCAAATGCGGGGGCGTTCTTGCAACCCTCACTTAACTCCTGAGGGCCCCCCCCCCCCCCCTCGCCCAGGAAGCCCGTGAACGTCGCGTTGAGTTTCATGGCGCGGCGCTGCGAGATCTGGCCCCAGCCCTGCGCATTCACGAGACTGTGAACTCATGGCCATACGGGGCATGTTGAAATCGCCTTCCAAGCTAGAGGGCGCGTGCGCATTGGCCGCGATGACCGCGTCGGATCGGGCGGGGGATGGAGGGGCTGCGCCGACGGCAAGCGCCCCCGCCGCTGCGGGCGGGGCTGCGCTATCATCCAAGGAGGCGCAGTCACACATAGAGCGCGCGGCGCTCTCCCAGGACGGATCCAAACCTCCCATTCGCTGAGCTTGCCAGCAGAACTATGGCCGCTAAGCATATAAGTAGCGAGTGTCACTTCGCGCTGGATTGCCAACGCGTGATCGATGGAATTCGACGCGGGCCCCACTCGAAGCACGAAACAAATTCGGCGGCTTGGATTCGTGGGAAGCATACAACAACCATCCAAGGGTATGCCATTTTACGAAGGTACAATCCCGCCTGGGCGAAAAATGATGTCGGGCCCACGTGGCCCGCAAGGGCGTGGCTGAAAGTCAAGCAGCAGATGAGCGCGCGGGGGGCGGGGCCCGCCGCGCCAGCCCCCCCCCCCAGCATGTCGCCCAGCAAGCGCGCGATGTTGGCGCAAACAGTTCGCGCGGAAGCGCCTCATAAAGGTAGCCTTGCAAGTGGCAATTCAGACCCGGTCGCTTCGGCCACCTCTCATGCGAATCGCGTGGCCCGCAGTCGTGCTTCCAGGGCCCATCGCGTAGCGAGCCCGGAGCAAGCGCCGCAAGAGAGCCCACGCAGCGCGGTCGAGAAGTGTGTGTGTGCGTGTGTGTATGTATGTATGTATGTATGCATGTATGTATGTATGTATGTATGTGTGTGTGTGTGCGTGCGTGCGTGCGTGCGTGCGTGCGTGCGTTTGTGCGTGCGCGTGCGTGCGTGCGTGCGTGCGTGCGAACGTGCGTGCGTGCGTGTGCGAGTGTGCGCGTGTGTGTGTGTGTGTGTGCGTGTGTGTGTGTGTGTTGTGTGCGTGCGTGCGTGCGTGCGTGCGTGCGTGCGCGCGCGCGCGCGCGCGGGCGGGTGCGGTGCGGGTGCGGGTGCGGGTGTGGGTGTGGGTGTGGGTGTGGGTGTGGGTGTGGGTGTGGGTGTGGGTGTGGTGTGTGGGTGTGGGTGTGGGTGTGGGTGTGCGTGCGTGCGTGCGTGTGTGTGTGTGTGCGTGCGTGCGTGCGTGCGTGCGTGCGTGCGCGCGCGCGTGCGTGCGTGCGTGCGTGCGTGCGCGCGTGCGCGCGCGCGCGCTCGTGCGTGCGTGCGTGCGTGCGCGCGTGCGTGCGTGCTTGCGTGCGTGCGTGCGTGCGTGCGTGTGGGTGTGTGTGGGTGTGTGTGTGTGTGTCTGCGTGTGTACGTGTGCGTGTGCGCGTGTGTGCGTGTGTGCGTGTGTGTGTGTGCGTGTGTGCGTGCGTGCGTGTGTGCGCGCGCGCGTGTGTGCGCGCGCGCGTGTGTTGGGGGGGGGGGATCGAGCTGCGCTCCGTCTGTCGAGGGCGCTGAGGCAAGGAATTGGGGGCACTGGATTGGATAGCCTCGCAGTGCCAGGGCAAGCCCCCGCCGAATCCAAAGTCATGAGATGCGTTGTGCTCGCGAACTCCGGCGGTTGCGCAAGCGCTGGGCTCGCGGCGGCGAGGAGACAGGCATGGGCCTGCAGAGCCTGACCAGGCGCCGGCCAGACTCTTGGAAGGCCGATTTCGCCCGCGTCTGAAGGCTCGATCAGACGAGCTGGGCAAGGAAGGGGCAGGGGGCAGAGGAATAGTTCGCAACGCGCGCGTCGTTCCTCCGTTTCCACGCTGAGAGCCCGGGAATCGGAGCGCGCGCCAGGAGGGGGGGGGAAGGAGAGAGAGGGGGGGGGTGAGACCAGGGGGGGGGGGGGGGGGGGGGGG